GTATTAATAATGTGAACTTTGCAGACTAAACTTTTCACACAGTGCAGAAATCTTTCAGTTCATTGGAAAGGCATGTTCCTACTTCAATGCACTAAATGACTCCTTCTTGCCTCAGGCAATACGAGAATGTGGCTCAATAGCCCATGCATAGAAATAGCATTATACCAAGCAGTGACCTACTCAAAAAGAAATATTTCAAGTGCAATGCAAATTGTTGTCCCTTGTCAATTCTTGTCCTAAATAACACATCCTGCAAATTCCATTGGATAGCTTTTCCTTTAGATGCATTTATTTTTCTGACAAATTTCTGTGGCCCTTTTATATTTTCTAACATCTCTATGAGCTTGTCTTTAAGCCTTAGCAATGGAAGAGACTCAGGCTAATTTAAGTCTCATTCCTAACATCATAATTTAAAATAATATACTATTTATCTATCAATTCTTCCAGACTGCAAAAATACCTATTAAATACAAAGACAAAGTCAAAATAACTGATTAAAAGCAAGCCTTGTGTATATGTGAATGAGTGTGTGGGTATGTGTGCATAAAATTATTTTAGTGATTTATCTAACTGCTATAAGGAAATGTCATTTTTGAATTTTGAGAGATTAATGATTTATATAGATGTATGTAACAGACTGCTGCCAAGATAATTGTCAAAATTCTGCTTCAGACACGCATTTTTTGACAGCTGAAAACTCAGAACTTATTTTTACTGCTTTACTAGTTTGCAACATTTTATCACTGACATTCATTAACTGCTTTGTTATATATTTTTAGTGCCAGAGCAAGACTTAAAAAGCAATGCTCTTTTGAAAGGCCATAAAATAATGACTTCTACTACTAAAAGCTAAATGCTGCCCATATTTTAGAACAAAAGATGAAATCTCCATTTGAGCCTGGAAATCATGTATACAAGGTTTTGATTTTGTGCCTCACTCCCACCTAAATTCTAAGAACTACTAGTTTAATTTATTCTAGACATTCTGAGTGTCTTTCTCAAATATCTTAGAATATTGCTTTGAATCTAGCCATGGCAACTAACTGTGAAAATGAAAAACAAAAAGCTAGCTTGCTTACCAATTTTTAAGCTTTCAAACTCAGAGAAATCTTAAATAATTAATGCAGATATTTAAAACACAAAGTACTTGGCACTTGATTTAATTCTGTTAAGCAGTCCAAGTCTAGGATTACTTGAATGTTAACCACAGTTTCTACTGATCTTAAGCAAATACTCAGTTATGTCTCCAGCAAAAATGGGTTTATTCTGGATCAGCAAAGAATTGCAATTCCACATCTGCAAGGCCGCCAGCCAGGTGCAAGACCCCAGCAACAAGGGGAGGAGAAACTCTTTTCATAGACCGGAGGAAGTTGGAGGGCTATTGTAAACAAAGGGTCCATTGGAGAAGGCTAGGAGTGTCGTGCCTTTTCATTGGCTAAGTTGTGACAGTCTCTCATTGGCTGAGCTGTTGCTGGGCAGGAAAAGGAAGTCTGTCTTCCTCCTGTTGGACGCTGCAATCTTTGTAGGGGGTGAGAGCTCCTCCTTCTGGCCTTCTGACTCCAGTTTAAATGAGGTTTCTGTTTATTAATTTTCACATTTCTAAATCATACTTGAAGATGGACAGCAAAGCATATCCTAATTAACATTAAAATCAAGTCAAATTTATATTCTGCCTCATTCCTTTCTATTTTTGGAATCCTTCCCCATCCACCAAATGCCCAATGTCACTATGCTGCACCTATCCCTATTTAGGACTCTCCAGGTAATCCCACCAAGCTGAATAAACACGTATCTCAAAATATGGAAAACTGAACTCAATTATACGATTTGTCCTCTAAGTGACAGGTTCAAGGGTCACATGATTATGTTTGAATTTGTATATTTTACACAGAGAAAAATGAGAAAATAAGGGTGATATAGTGAGCATCAACATAAAGCTGTGTATTCAATTTAAAGAAATATGTTTTTTCTGAAGTAATATTCTTTGTATGTTTTTAGTGCTCGAAGATCCTTTCTTTGTGAAATTCGTGATAGTAAGTGACATTTTAAAAATATAATTACTTGGAAAAATAAAAATTGGACAACTCTACATGAAATATAAACATCTGGGTACCCCTGCTCCATGAGACACCAAAATGACCAGGGGAAAACACACACACACAACCCACACACATACTCAACAAAAAGGATTAGGCCCACTGGCTGTTTAACATCATAGAAACAAAACCAACTGGTTAATAGACTTTTTGCCTATTTCTAAAGGCAGTAAATAAACACAACACAATATAAGTATTCCTTACCTTAACTACTGTGCAACAATAAAAATTTTAAGCCAAAGTTATGATTTCATCAACACAGATAATGATGTTCCTCTAAAAATCGCCTCTATTCTGCTGTTCAGTTGCACAATGCTTAGTTGAGCTGACATTGTAGTGTGGATGTTTAAAAAGAAAAGGCTAATATATATCCTAAAATAATAAAACAAAGAGTTACATGTAATGAGCCAACAAAAGAAATATGATGGAATCATTAAAATATTCAATTAATCCAAAATAAATCAGAAAAAGAGGAAAATGGGAACAAAGAACACATGATACAAATAAAACACAAATGGCAACAGGATGGATTTAACCCCACACATATCAATAATTACTTTAAATGCAACAGTCTAAATGCCTCAATTAAAAGTCAGAGATTCTCATATTGGATAAATAAAGCAAAACCTAACTATATACTGCCTAATTGGAACCTACTGTAAATATAAATACACAACATACATTAAAAGTAACAGGATGCACATTAGTTTGCTGAAGTGTCTGTAAAAAAGTACCAAAATTAGAGTGGCTTAAAACACCAAATTTATTATCTTATAGTTCTGAAGGCTAGACGTCTTTAAACAAGGTGTTAGCATGGCAATGCTCCCTCTGAGATTCTGGGAACAATTCTTCCTTGCCTCTTCCTAGCTTCTCGTGGTGGCTAGAAACTTTTGGCATTCCTTGGCTTACAGCTACATCAGACCAATCTCTGTTTCCATCCTCACATGGCATTCTCCCTGTGTCTGTGTCTTCACATCATCTTTTCTCTGTACATATCTGTCTCTGTGTCCAAATTTCTCTTTTTTATAAGGACACTGATCATATCGGACTAGGGCCCGCTATAAGGACCTCATTTTAACTCTGTAAAGACCCTATTTCCAAAGATCACACTCTGATGTTCTGGGCTTTGGGAGTTCAACGTATCTTTTTGGGAGGACACAATTCAACCCATAACATATGGAAAAAGATATACCATGCCAACGTTAACCAAAAGAAAGCTCAAGTGGCTAAATTAACATAAGCCAAAGTAGATTTCAGAGCAAAGGATATTACCAAAGATAAAGAAGGTAATTTTATAATATTAAAGTCATCAATACATAATGAGGACACAACATTACTAAACATTTATATATATAATAACAGGTGCCAAATACATGAAGCAAAAACTGATAGGAACAGGAAGAGAAATAGATCCATAATTATAGCCAGAGATTCTAATACTGATCTCCTGGTAATTGACAGAACAAGTAGAAAGTCAGCAAGGATATGGTAGATGAACAGCACTATCAAGCAATTTGACCCTATTGACATTTACAATACACTCCACACAACAACAGTAGAATATACATTATCTTAAAATGCACATGGAATGTTGACCAAGATAGATCATATTCTTGGCCGTAATAAAAAGTCTCAATGAATTTAAAAGGATTCAAGTAATATCAAGTATGTTCTCTGATCACATGGAATTAAATTAGAAATCAATAACATAAAAATTTTCTGTAAAATCCTGAAGTATTTACAAACTGTAGAGGAGGAGAAAGTTTTCTTCAGCCCTCTTAGGGTCCCTCACTGGTCTGAAAATTAAACTCGCAAGGACAGATTAATAGGAGAAAAGTATACATATCTTATTAAATTTTTACGTGTCCATGGGAGCCTTCACAAGAGAATGAAGACCTGAAGAAGTGACCAGAGTAGGAAGTTTTTATACCTTTTAGACAAAGAAACAATAAATTTGTGAAGAATGACAAAACAAAGGGGTTTGGGCTAGGCTTAAATGGTGAATAAGTAACTAGGAAGATAAGGCTTAGCTCAACAAGGTTTGTTTATACAGCTTGTTTTGGCCCCAAATTCCCTGTCTCTTGTGACAAAAATGTCTCCCTTCCTTTACATGGGAGATTTATCTCCTCCTTTCAGGGAAGAAGAGCGAGGTGTGGGGGTGAAGTCAAAGTGACCTTTCTTCTGCTGTTTTTCTCAAACTCCTTCAGCTTAAGATATTCAATATGCCAAGGCGCCGTATTTTGAGGTAATGTGTCCTGAACTCCATCAAAACTAAACACCACGCGTCTAAATAATCCATGGGCAAACACTGATTTCAACAGTTACATTAGAAGAGATTGTGAATTAGGTGAAATTGAAAATACAACATACCAGTATTTGCAGGATGCCACTAAATCAGTGCTTAGGGGGAAATTTGTAGCACTAGATGCTTATACTACAAAAGAAGAAAAGTCGCCACTGAAGGACCTCTGCTTCCACCTTTGGTAACTAGAAAAAGAAGAGTGAATTAACCCCAAAGTAGGTATAAAAGTGAAATATATTAAGATCAACATGGAAACCAATATGATAGAACAAAGAAAAACAATAGACATGAAAGACCAGTATAGCAAAAGCTTCGATATATCCCTGAGAGAAGTTAAAGAACTAAATAAACAGAGAGGTACATCATGTTCATAGGTTGAAACACTCAGAATTGTTAAGATTGTTAATAATACTGCTAACAATACTTAATGATAAGATTGTTGATATTCTCCCAAAATAAATCTATAGATTCCACATAATCCCAATTAAAATCTCTGTTAGCCTTTTGTATAAATTGACAAACTGATTCTGAAATTCATATAGAAATTAAAGGAATCCATAATAGCCAAAACAACTTTGAAAAAGAAGAACAAAATTGGAATACTAATGCTATTTTATTTCAAGTCTTACAAGGCTACTGTAATTAAGACAATATCTGATTGACATAAAACAGAATAGAGTTCAGATATAAACTCACACATATACAGACAACTTAATTTTGACAAACATGCTTTGTCAATTCATTGGAGAAAGGATAGTCTTTTCAGGAAATGGTGCAGAAACAAGAAGCTTTACATATCTTAAAAAGTTAAACATATTCCTTCCATATGGTTCAGCCATTTCACTCCTAAGTTTTTATCAAAGAGTAACGAAAGTATATGTTCATACAGAGACTTGTACACAAATATTCATATAGCTTTATTTGTAATCCAAAACCTGGAAACAAATGTGCAGTGAGTGGATAAACAAACTTTGAAATGCATACAATGGAATACTACTCAGCAATAAAAATTAACAAACTGTAAACGTAGGTTACAACATAGAGGAATCTCAAAATAATTATGCTTAGGGAAAGAAGACATAAAAAGCATAAATACCGCATTATTTCATTTATTTAAAACTCTAGAAAATGCAAAATATTCTGTAATGGCAGAAAGTGGGTCAATGGTTGCCTGTGAAGGTTTAAGGGTGAGGATTACAAAGGGGTACTAGGGAAATTTTTTGGCTAGGTGGATATACTCATGATGTTAATTTTGGTGGTGGTTTCACCATTATAAATATATGTTAAGACTGTCAAACTATATATTTTAAATATGTGCAATTTATTTACATCAATTATACCTCAATAAAACTGTTAACATTTAAAAAAATATTACAGTCATTATTTTTAACAGCTCCTCAGATGGTTCTAATATGTACACAGGTTTGAGAACCAGAGAGCTACCTATTTCACCCCAAGGTGGAATACAGTTGATTGCCCAGACATCTACATACCATCGGTCCCTTTTTCTGTCTTCTATTTTTGCAATTATTTGCTTAAGAAGATTTAAGCTATTTTTCAGTTCAGCTAGATAAGGACCCAGTTTGAAAACAGGTATATTTTCAGTAATTTTTAACTCCCAGAAGTATTGTCTGTGATGTTGCTATAAATCATGGAATGTTAAAGGAAGAGACAAGCCTGTGGATCATCTTTCCTCAATCTTTTGTTAGCTGATGGGACAGAGTGAACTTTTAGGGAGACTGAAGAAGATACTATAATATTGGAATTAAAACAGTCTCTTTAAGGTTTCCTCTCTGAGCCAGCCACAGACCAATAGAGGACAGATAACTAATAAAATATCCTAAGCTTCTTTGGGGGAAAAATATACCGTAGAGATCAAGTAATGCTGCGTACAATACTTTGGTCAAATTACGTATTAGGATTGTGTCCAACTCTGAACATCAGTTTTATGGAAAAAGATCCAGAGGAAGTCCAAACGGATGCTTAAAAATAAAGAAACCAAGGAATTGTCAAAGGAACTATGGCCATTTACCCTATGGAAGAGAAGACTTTGGTTGGACAAGGAGCATGATGTCTATTAAAATTTGAAAGAAAGTGAGGAGCATCTTCTATGATGAGGGTAATACCAATATCCCTGAAGCAGCAACCAAAAGGTGACTCTAGAGGAAATATTTTCATGTTATTATTTTTGTTTCATCATTGCGTTTATGCAAGGTGAGCCTAGGGAAGGACAATTTGTACACACTCCTACTTATATCCTTTCCCAAGGAGCTTGAGATCACCATGCATTCCTCCACATCATAATCACACAACTGACGTGTCTTGAAGCTGGGCTATGACCATGCAGTATAACTCCTCCACAAGAAAATCCCATTAGGAAATAACTCAAAAACCTCTTTGGAAAGAGTCACATGTTCCTACTTCCTAATTGAGAATAAGGACCCAAGTCATTTACACTTTTAGATTAGCCAGGCTTAACTGAAACTCCCAATAGGTTGCCATGCTGATTCAAGGTTACTATTCAGGCTCAGGCATTAATGTCTCAAGTACAGACGCCTTATTTTTGGTGAGAAATTTGACTTTGCAATCTATGATATATTTATATAAACATAAAAGAAAACACTGATTTTGCCTAAATTACCCTTGTTATTTGTGTTCATTCACTAGAGAATCCTAATTCACCAAATCCAAAGATTCACTTTTTTTCTGGAGGCTTATCACACAAACCAATCTCAAAGAAATCAAGTAAATGTATTCCTTTTGGAATCAAAAAATGGAGTTGATAGAAAATAATGAGTCACAGAGTATTCCAGATGGTTAACTCTTGTGTTTAACTGTTATATACCATTAATGAATAGTAAATATATAAACATAAGAATTTTAATATCATAAAATATACTTTTCTGAAACTAAAATGGGAATGCCTGTTTGTTTTATTTTAGAATGTATCTGAATACCTAACAGGTTATTGTTATGAACAGCAACAATTGTTCTATACACTTGTAAACGAAATTCTGGTTATTTCATTATTTTGGTGTTTTGGATTCTGGGTAAATGGAATTATACTATATTGGGCTCAGAATGCATGGATCTCTTCTATTCTCTTGGAGCTTGAGGATAGCATTATTCAGAAATTCAGGGAGATTATACACACACGCGTACATATATATGCATATGCACACAAAATATACTTTATCTGCACTGTTCGTAGGTTTCATGGAAACAAAGCTTTTAGAACTTCATGACTTTCTCCCATTTCTAAAGATGATTGGAAATGTCCTGTTTCTTTGACTGTCGTTCAGCATACACATATCCAGCATCTGACCAGGAATGTGAGTCTTGACATCTCCTGCCAAGGTAGTAATATTGCTTGTAATTGATCTCAGCTGGGCTTTCAATTCTCTACGATAGGCAGGAACATCAATGAGGACAACTCATTTATCCACAGCGGCAGTGGCACCAGCCTATTATAAGAGTACATGAGAATAGATGTACTTTAGAAACTTTAGGCTTTAGAGATAATGTTAAAACGAAGTGAAGTAAGAAAAAAATTAAAGTGCCAAAGGCTTTCTTTCAATAATTTTAAACCTGTTACTTACGATGAAAACAAATCAGAACACATAAATGAAAATTATTCTAATGGGTTTTCCAAGAAAGGAAACAGTATAGTGCAAAGTTCAGAGCATGGACTTTGACTCAGTTTATTCATCTGCTAAATGAGGTAACCATTTCTAATACCAGAGTGTGGTAAGAACTGAATTAGATATCACATATTAAGTGCTTAGCACAGGGCCTGTCATATAGTTATGATTGTGTATATTGAAGCTATTATAATTTAGAACAGGGGTGGTCTTCAAGCTTTTGCTTCCAGAGACCCAAACAAGGTGTCCTCATGTCAAGTTTTATTTACCTGGAAAGTATTTTAAACTATATTTTATTGGACAATACTTTGGAAGAAAGTATGGAAGTAGCATCATTCTTTGTTGAACCAATTGCCCTAAATATTTATTCATAATTAATTGAAGGTGCCTATATACGTACCATTTCCATTGCAAAATAAGTTCTAAGTATATTCATTTTATGCCTTGTCATAGAGTACATTTCAGTTTGTGCATACATGTGACACTGAAGTCTCTGTGTAGGGTAGAGTATCTTCATAAGTTAGTTGCCAGATATTTCTCCCTTTTGAACATATGTGATGTGAATGTACATGTGAGTGCAAACATATATGCACCTGTGTGTGTGTTTAAAGGCAAAAATCATATAACTGGGGCCAGGTAAATGTTTGTATCAGAAACTAGAGAAAAATATGTCCAATATAACTATGTAATTGCTATAATAAGTGGCTATAAAGCCACCCTGCCCTTATGCATTGAGGCTCAGAAACGTGAATAGCTTATTGATGTATTCTGCCTATCAGAAAATATACAAATATAACACATTAATTCCATGCCAAAAAAATAATTTATAGGATTCTACTGCCTCTGGGAGCCAGGAGAAGCTAATTCTCACATTGCCTTCATCTGCCTTTTGGTTAAAAGGAGTATTTCCCTGTCAGTATAACAGGTAGAGAAATTTCATTTCATTGCCAATTGCTGATCCACTGTTTATGAAGTTCACCAACTTCCATAGAAAGATATTGAATATAACTTCTCTTCATCACTTTATTCTGAATAATTCTTTTTCACATAAAGGAATATAGCATACATCATTGGATTGATCTGTTTTTATGCTATTTATTCAACACTGAGCCTCTGGGCTGCCATTTCAAACTACCTTAATAAACCTAACACTACCTTTATAGTGATTCCTTGCTTAGAAGACTGGATACCACCAATGTCAGTTCAATAAACATAGCCTAAAGAGTCACTTTCTTCACAAACAATTCAAACAAAGTGTCAAGTAGAAACATCCTATATTGGACAACACCAAGCAAAATTATTCCAGGACTGAAAATGTCTGAGATGCTCATTGGCTTTGACTGAGTGATGAAAATGTGTACAGATCTGTTGCCCAAAAGCAACAGTGCTGATAATGAACTGCGAAGATTTTCATCCACAGTATTCTTAATAGTGATTCAGTGGATGTACACAGTGCCAGATGTCTAAAAGCAAAGAGTTGAAATGCCTTTCTGGCATTTTATGCATTATCTGTTACAAATTTCAACATGACCATTCTCGTAGATCCGGTCATTCAACATTAAGGCTGTTCTCCACAGAATGCAGGGGATATGACTTTTGTCTAACAATAGTCAAAATTCCTGCAACAATCGTTTCAATTTTCCGCTATCACTTACCGAATCTGTACTCTTGACAAGATAAAGAGAAACACTGGCTACCAAACATCTCTTCTTCCAGTAAGATTAGTATTTTCATTAATTATATTTTAAGACATGTTATTGCATATACAGAAGTCTCGATTCTAGGCAAGGGCAGCATTACAATTATGGCCTTTAAAAAAACAATCAAATATTTAGTGAGCATCTACTGTGTATCCAGGGCTATGAAAATATTAAAGAGAATAAGGCTTTTCCTGATCTTATAATGTAGTTGAAGGGAAGAGGCTAACACTTTTCATCATTTAATAAGCATTAACTGAGCAACAACTATACACTAGGCCCACTGCAGGGATAGTAGAGCAACTACAGTACTATAATCCTGGTATGCTCAAGGTACTATGGCAGGACAAAGAAGAGACATCCAACTGAGAATGGTGGTGGAAAACATCAGAAAAGACTCTCAGGAGAGGTAAAGGTTGAGCTGAGCCATGAAGAATGATTAGGGATTCAGCTGACAAATTAGGATAGAAAAGAATACATGTTGAGAAATGAAAGGTGAGTTAAGAGAATTGAAATGGGTAATAAAGTCTGATGTTAAATGATGAATCCAAGATTTCCAACCTAGAAGACCAAGAAATTTGTGCAATCAACAGGACAAGCACAGTTTTAATATATGCTGCTTAGGAGAACAATAATGGGTTCCTTTTAGAGTGGTCTGTATTTGAAGTGATGTCAAAATTTCGTTAGAAAATGAAAATAAATGAAAGAAACACAGGCGGACAATCAGGCCTAGATTTGGAAGTTTTGTGAATACAATCAAATAGAAATAACTCATCATGCCTTTTTGTGTGCCAGATCAGCTATTTCAATTCACCAAATAATTTCACTATTATTTATTGAACTCATGCTTCTAGGTACCATACCAATGAGGCTCTTTAGTTGCAACTCTCATATAGGCCTGGTGTTTTCATAATCTCCAGATATAAAATACTCAAAGCAAATTTTGTAGTATAACATAATATTCCTCATCAATAGCTAAGTCTATGTGGCAAATATGCTTTTCTCTGACCAACCTACTATAGCTCTAGGAGAGGCAGATATCATGGAAATTAGTGTCTCTGTCGTTTTGTGAGTCTCAAGAAAACTAACCCATCAAGCATTTCACATTAGCCTAATGTTGGATTGGTTTTGTAAACAAAGTGTCAGCAAAAATTAGTGAAATTAACTGCATAGCAGAAGCAAAAATACTTTTAAAAAAGCTCTCAATTACCTGACACAATAATCACTGGAGCACAAAATGATGCTCCAGAGTCACTGCAAGATGCTTCATGCAGTCCCTACAAAAAGACGAAATTGTGAGCAGCATTATTTTGGTTCTGTGAACTCCTTTACAGTTCCATTTTCTGAAATTAAATCCATGTATGTCATATGTGATACCATCCTATAGCCTGAAATTGCACCCAAATATTCTTAGTGATAGAGCATAAAACACTTAAGCACTTCCTCTCCATGTCAGATAAGACCACTAATCGAACTAATATTTTACAAAGGAGGAAAAAAACACAATAAGTCTTCTCATATACAGGGAAATATATATACTTTTATAGATATTTTTGAAAAATATTCATTTGGTTAAGTTGAAAATATGAAAGTGATTAGTTCTTCCTCAACTTATTTTTGTCAACAAAGCCCTGAATTTAAACAGCTCTTTCACTCAAAGCTTTCTTTGTGAGCATCTGATGCTTTATTTCTTTTATCTAAAATCCCTCGCTTTAAATTGACACAAAGATCTAGTACCTGAATCTGTGTTTATTCTTTTTTAAAAAAAATATGAAAAGGACAGGCCTGGGTGTCATGCAGGCAAAAGCGCAGGCTATATTTAAGCTCAGAAGAGGTTCCATATCCAAGAAAGATATTGGAATTGGGAACAGCATAGTACATAACATAGTCAGAATAGGCAGCATAAATGAGTTTAAGGCTAAGATGGATATACGCTTGGAATCAATACAGTTGGATACGCTTGCTGAATAGCAAGATGCACCTGCTGAAAGGCAGCAGGATAACTAGATTGATACTGGCTCTTTCCAACAATAAATTTTGTGTTTCAGAGTAATATTTCATGGCTGACAATTGGAACAGTGGTGGCACAGTTGGATTGATTGGCACTGAACACAAGGTTTTATTTGTCAACAAATGTGTTTCATGATTCATCTTGGACTCCCTGATTGATTGGATACTGACTGCATAGAAAAAAATTTTATAAGTCTATCACAGAAGGTTTTTGGAAATACATCAACAACACTGACTCATCAGCACAACACAGTCACATACTGAAGAATGCAAATGTTTCCTGGTACTCATTGCTATTCAGGATGGAGATTAGTAAATAGATTCGCACGCAGTAAATGCGAGGTACAAGCATCTCATTGATGGTACATCACTTTTGCTCTTAATGTCAAACTCTTCACCACCTTTTTTTTGTTCCTTATGACTCATCCAAGCACCAGTGGATACCAGAGGGCCATGGAAAGTCACCTAACTCACCTTTAATACATCAAGGTGGCCTTGGCCTTCCTGTACTTGTGGTGCATCAAAACAACTACAGTATAATGGGTAACAATGCTGGATTTGGAGTCAGACGAACTTGAGTTGAAAAAACCTCACCTTGTTACGAGATATCTCTGTAACGGGAACAAGTTATTTAATCACTCTAAGGTTCACTTTCTTAGTCTGTAAAATGAAAATAATAACCTATATTGCAAAGATTAAATAATACAACCACTCAAAAATATTAGCTACCATTCAGCAGTTTTGTTCATACATTAGGCAGTTTAGTCCACAGCTACTCATAGGTCATGATGCCCTAAACCAAGTAGCTATCCCCAGCAGCTCAAAAACAGTGTTATGCAATGCCAAGCCATCTTTGCACCTCTCAGCCATTTCCTGACTCATTAGGGAGGTGACTGGTCATTTCTTCGCCCAAACAAGGAGGCTACTGCTCACAAGAATTGGACAGTTTGACTTCTTAACCCTTCATCCTTTTATTTAAAGGTCAGTCAATTGATCCATCTGTCAATATCTCATTAATAAGAAAGTTTGAAAACTTTCTAATTTATCAGAATGATCAACAGAAACAGGCCCTCTATGGATATGTGCAAAATGCATGTTTGCTTAAGGTGCTGTCAT